GACGTTTGTTTTTCTCGCGCATTTTTGAGTATAAATACATATGCGCTTTCGGAAAGTTTAATTTGAGAGATATGCGAGAGATAATACGCTGAAATTTTGGCAACTTGATATCCAGCGGTATTCTTGGATTTCAGTTTTCTAATTACAAAACAAGAACCACTTCCTCGATCTCCTATGCCTTTGATTTTAACTTAAGGTCGAAAAACTTAGCTCATATATAAGCTGGAAACAGTACAAAATTTGAAATCTTCGAAACTTAAACTCAATAAACAGTACACGCCAAATTTCGTAAATTCGACTTCTACGTATATCAGTTCTTCGTGATCTTAGTTCTAAATGTAGGCTGCAATAGCAAAGTGAGGCGAGCAGCAAACATATTGCTTTTGAGCTTAGCTAGCAGCATACTAACGTCTGAGAGCGGGCCAAAATCACCCTCGCCTGAAAGTGGTCCCCACGCTAATCTGTCCTGAACGGTGACCTTCACGTTTAAAGACAAACTGGAACTATAATTTGTGGGCGGAATGAGCTGGAAAACTGTAATTTTAATGCTTTTCAATCACAGATGATGGCCATTGTTTGACCATAAACGATGCCAACTAGCGTTCCGTCGGCGGTGAATACGCCTTGACGGGCAGCTTTCCAGAAATGAAAGTCTTTCGGTTCCTGAGGAAGTATGGTTGTAAAGCTGAAATTTAAAGAAACTGACGGAAGATAACCACCAGGAGCCGAAGTAAAACCAGCTCCTTTGCGTTTTACCGCATTCATCCACCGTGAGTCCGCGACAGTTTACCGCAAATGCACATTCATATCGACTTCCCGAAGCGTATCGATGCTTATATGTGTGTACTGCACCTTCTGCTGCTAATCGAACATATTGTTTTGTTTAAATTATATCCAAAATTCTTGCAGAGACCATACCGTAAGTTAACAGAAAATGTGGAAGTCTGGAAGACCCCAGGTCGCACGCAGCAATGCCTCAGTGTTCTAGTGCACAATGTGGAGCATTACGGCACGATGGGTATTGTTGGCGATCTAATACCACGGGAAGACTACATCTTCAATAATGTCCGTTTTCTTTTTTCTTTTTGAGAAAAATGACTATCAGGATTATCAATATTGCCCGGACTGTCCACGGGAAGTTCTGGTATTGTTGAGAGGTATCAACTTGCTTGAAGTATAAAAGCATTTCTCTCTTGATTTGCATGTCTGTTGTTTGTACTCCTCGCCTCTGTTTTGCACATGAGCTTTCTCACAAGAAGCCATATAAATGTTCATCTGCAAACTGACCTGATCCTTTCCTACATGTAAATTCTCAAATATCTTACTAGATTTTTCCATCTTCCGAGATTTCTCAGGAGGGGTCAAGTAATGAAATAACTAATCATTTACTGATAACGTTATAAAATGCTGATGTTCCGAAATGCTCTAAAATTTGAAAAAAGTATCGTATTCGTGATGACGGCCGAAACGTTGACTTCTACTTCAATAAAGTGATTTTGCAGAACCCATCTTTTCGGTGATATTTTCTGCACAGAGGGTGTTGGGTAAGAGAAAGACCATAGCTCGTCCCAATCCCAAAAATCGCATGAAGCAGCAGGAAAGAATCAGGTGCAAGATAGTTTTGCACAACAGCGCACCAGGCCTCTAATTGTACTGAAGACTTCACACTAATGGCGGTAAATCTTACAGGGCACTGGAGGGGGAAAAGCGGCGGGAAAGAGAGCTAGGGGAAAAAACTAAAGGAGGTAAATTTGTTTTCAGTAAGCGGCAATTTTTTATCAGAAAGTTTTCAGACCGAATCGCAAGGCAATATTGATGATAGTGTTTGGGATCCGATTCTGAGAAGGCAAAACGCGAAC